ACACACACACACACACACACACACACACACACGGAAACCTGTGCTGGGAGTTGAACACTAGTAAACCTCTACCAAACACCCTCAGTAACCTTCACCTTCTTTTCACCCAGTAGCATCTGGTTATCACTCTGAACACACACATAGGTGCACACTCACACTTGTGCGGCCTCTGTATCATACACACACACACACACACACACACACACACACACACACACACACACACACACACACACACACACACACACACACACACAACAATCCCATTAACATCAGTACTTTTGTAATGGATGTGTTTGCGGTGCTGCTGTGGGAGAGAGGAGAGACCTGGAGTAGCTGTTATAAATCACTCGCTTGTTCCCCCTCCCCCCTAACACACACACACACACACACACACACACACACACACACACACACACACACACACACACACACACACAGGCCCTCTATCGGCATCACTACATGGGGCTCCCATTCACTAACTCCGCAATCACACACTCTCTCACACACAAATACATACATACAGAGAAGCTTTCTCCCCCTCCTACTCTCTTTACCGCCTGGGGGTGGGAAATCCTATTACCCTATGAAGAGGAGGAACACATCATTAATTACACTCACATACTCCTTTACACACACAAACATATCTGTATGCCAGACTCAATTGCAACACACAAACACAAACACCCACACATACACACACTTACAGATCTCAGCTACTCATTCTCACACAAAACTATTTTTCTTTAGCTGCAATTTTGTGTATTTCTCTGTCAGCTGCACCATGACAGGTGACATCAGAGCTGGGCTGGTTCATCTGATAACACACACACACACACACACACACACACACACACGTCAGAATGTGTGAGAGAGCAAAGTTACGATCGCCAAGAGAGATTTCAGGCAACATGGAAAGGCAGATCAGGGACTGTCAGTGTCACCCTCAGATTTATCCAGAGCCTCAACAGCCTTTTCAAGGTTTACTAGATAGATGGATGCCATAAAGTGATACATGCACGCTATAAAATGAACAGAGGAGGGGTAAGCCATGCATAGCCAGGCTGTCAGGGCGAGTGTTTATGCACCCAGGTGGGCACCTTTAGGACACATTAAGTCAAGGCTGTCCCAGCAAGAATAGAAGAGGCGGTTTCACTTCAGTGAGGGGACACGCATGTCCTGCAAAACAGGTTTTAATGGCCCTGAACAGTGAGTTGCATCATTTATGCATTGAGACATTTTAATTGGTCTTTAGTTTCTGTCTTTAAACTGTAAAAAAAAGCCCAAACAACCACAATATACAAAGATTTGAGCAAATTGTGCAAGCTACACATGCCAGTAATTAAAAAAAGATTGCACACATACTGAGACAAATGTACAGACACATGCCTACACATGTGCATGCACCTCCACACATGTATACACATATACAGACATGTATAATTCACATACTGGTACATCACATCATAACGCAATGACAAATATAAGTGAAGTGTGATGGTATCAAATGATCATCTTATATTTGTCATTATTGTTGTTTTCTTCTTTGTCTTCGCTTCTTTGATATATACTTGCACTTCTAATTTATGTGCATCCACAGGATAGACAATGGATAAAGAAAAGATAGATAATAGATCAATATGCAACATGTGTGCAATCTTTCAGGATACACAATGAAACAAAAATGATAGTTAGATGAAAGTATGTGTCTGGTCAAATTACTCTAGTAACATACTAAAGAAATCTGGTTGGTATACCAAAGAGATCACATTGGCATTTTAAACATGCAAACAAGTATCCCAGTTTGTGAAAAACTGATAGATTTAGATTCGTTTTTGTCTGAAATAACACAAGAGAAAGCAGAGTGGCTCTGACGCACAGCCACAGCGCCACCAAGTGGATTCAGGTCGTACCAACACAGCAACCATTGTACAGAATGGCAACAAGAAGCATCTTCAGATTTGAACAAACAATAGTGAGAGCCGAGACCTTTATTTAGCAGGAATGAAGAAATTCAAACAGAATTTCAAGTATGTTTTAAGTGCCTTTTTAAAAAAGAAAAAGAAAAGCACAATCAAATCATTTGTAAGGAACACAAACATTTTTCTATCAAAGCCAGGGTATGACAAAATAAATAATATAAAAACAATCTTTTTGTACTACATCACAAGAGCCATGACATCCAAAAACTTTGAATGACTCGTTTCAAAGAGCGTCTCAACAAATGTTTTGGCAGAGAGCTTTGGATCTTTTCTTTGTTGTCAACTGTCCACAAAGTATTTTCTCTCTCAGGGAACACACATTTTAACATTTTCAATATCCAACATTTAGCCATATTTTTTATATAGATTTCCACTCTTGTTACATGTCCATTAAAGCTCATGTTCGCATGCAGGCAGATTATAGTTCAATACTGAATAGGCGAAACCTTGCAAAAGTAATTTACTTTTTTTAATTAGTTTACGGCAGATGTACAGTTGATCCAGGATAAAGTACTTAAATTGTGTAAGTACTCTCTAAAATGGGCAATAAACATAGGACTACTTTGGACAAATATATTGTTACAAGGTTAGAAATGTGAAGAAACAGAACACTAGACACTCTTCAGATTAAGAGTAATCTTAAATAAGGGGAAAGGATGAGGTAAGGCATGTGGTGTACAGAAAGTGTTTGATGTTTATTTTTATTGTCCCTTTTCCTCTATATTCTCACTACGGCCTCTTTCTTCATGTACAAAACATTTATAACCTGCTGTAATACTTTAATGCAGGGGTGTCCAAACTACGACCAGGGGGCCAAATCCGGCCCGCGGACCATTTTGAATCGGCCCCCAGCTAATTAAAAAAGTACAATGGAAAATGGCCCACAAATTAAACTTGTGCTTGTCTTATATTGTACTTCTTATATATACATGTAAACATATATTACACAGTAGTATTCATGTGTTACTAAGACCACTTTTCAAATAAATTCAGTCACTTAAAGTTGGAAACATTCTCTAACATTAGTGATGTTATGTATTGCGCCGAGGCTTCGGAGCGTGTGTCGAGTAATTTTGTGAAGTATGTATCGAGGCTTGTATCGTTTTGGGCCAGTGACGTCATCGACGACAAACGAAGCCTCGCTGCATGTCGATAACACGTGACTGCTTCAGAAAGTGATTCCGATCGGTTGAACCGTTGAACCACAACGCTCATAATACCCATGGATGTATAATAAGAACCATGGAATGGAATGGAATTAAAAGAGCTCAGACCCTCACTTATATAGAGGTCGGAACATGTCATAAGTA